GAATTATTAGACTTTCTTGTCGTGTAGTAAGTTTGTTAATGTTTTATTAGTACGTCTGTGTAAAATAGGGATTTTTACTCTGTGTTTTTACCACTTGTATCCTCCCACACTTATTAGAGGTTTGTAAGTTTTATTTGATCTGTTCCTTTCTCCTTCAATTTTTGGAGAATTTGTTTTTGGCTGCCAAACCGTGTGTCTGTTTTACAAATTAATTTTGTTAATTGGCAAGGCCGCTTTGTTTATTGTCATGTCACAATTTTGGTTCTCTATCTATGTAATAAACTACAGTTAGCATTGATTCTCATATGCTACTTACTTATACATTCTATTTCATGATTGCATGTATGTTTCCATTAATAAATTTGACTATTTTAAAATTTGTTAATAAATTTGACTACTTTCAGTTTCTTTACCTAAATTTCCAGTAAGTCAACAACGGACTCATGCACGTAGCTAGGTGTAATTTCACCATCAGCTGCGACCAATGGGACATTGGGATATTGTCCTAATGTTTTATACTTGTTGTCATACTTTTTCAACTGGTAGATTAGTATTGCACGACACTTATTGGTTTCTTTTTCAAACAGCTATGATAACAAGGAAATTGCTTTGAATTGTGAGAATATGTTGAGGGATTGCATTAGATTCCCTGCACTTGCAAAGTAAGACATTCAAACTTTTTATCTTTTTTTTTCCTGCTAATGGTTGTTGCAAGTTAGTAGTGATCTTGCTAAAGTAGATCATATTTTGTAAAATGAGATGTTCTGTTACATTCCATTTGTTTGGATCAAAACTTGAACTTTGGGCTCAGGAAAGGGGCTGGCCCAAAAGGATGCCTAAAGGAAGAATCGGCCTAAGCCCAGCCAAAGCCCAGAAAGCAGAAAAAGGCTTTTCTGACTTGGTGCAGCTCATGAAGACCACTTGCTCACCTACCCAAAGGCCAAGTGGTATAGACTGACCAGCTATACAGCCCATAAAGTACTTTATAATGGCAGAACAAGTAAAAAAGCTGATGAGTCACTGCCTCTCAAGTTGCATTCGGGCAAGGCTGCTGCTACAAGAGGCCAAGCTGAGTTGTCTATAAAGAAGAAAGAGAAATCAGGATTAAGGACACTCAAACAAACAAACAAATGCAAGCACAAACTCTGCTCAAAGCCAGATTTGCCTTCAAAACGAAGCTGTAGTTAGCCCAAGCCTTCATCCTTCTCGAGACAAGCCTTCACTCAAACCCTTGTAATAGCTCTGCTACCCTGTTCAACCTTGATGTAGTATCGATTTCTCTTTGTAAACTCCTCTCCTTATCTCTCCCTAAAAGCTCTCAGACCCTTGATAAGCCACAAAGATAGGAACCTGCAAGACGACCAGGCTTGCCCGACAAGGTTAAACCTTGCCCGACCTTCTTTGTTTTTGTCTTTTCATTCATTAGCCTAGCAATATGTTGTATACTTCCAGTTGTATTCAAGTTATATCTAGTAAGATGACTATTAAAAGAATCTCTTAGTACTTGGATCCGATTTGAATATATCTTCATTGTTCAAACCAGATCTAAGTTCTAAGCCCTCGGGCATGTAAATTTGATCAGTTGAAAGTCCTTGGCCTCAAGGCATAAAAAAGAACCTTATGTGGACTTAACCCATCCACGATAGTCCTTGATAAACAAGAAGTCCGAAGTTACTTGGGGCGCAAATAATCGACCTACCCCTTAGTTTTATTTCTATTATATTATGATTATCATAGAACGCTTAAGCATGGAATGGATTCTGATAGGATGCCTCAAGGCCTACACCTAAGGCCCCACAAAGGCACCTATTTGGATTCATTCCATTCCGCAGTCTAGAACGTTTGAGTATAAGAACGAATTCTGATGGGAAGCCTCAAAGCCTACACCTAAGGCCCCACAAAGGCACCTATTTGGGTTCGTTCTATCTCTCAGATTCGGGTAATCAGAAGTATAATAGTTGTAAGGCTCCTGCAATCAATCGAACGAATATTATATGTTCGAGCACTGGTTTAGTTATTGATGGGAAGCCTCAAGGCCTACACCTAAGGCCCCACAAAGGCACCTGTTATAACTAACACGGTTTCTCGGGCATATATATATATATATATACAACTAAAACGCGACATCCATTTTACATTTGCCATGCTAAAGATGGCAGTGGCACGCCTGAGTACTTAGAAGTTAATCTTGTTTGTGAGCCTCAAGGCCTACACCTAAGGCCCCACAAAGGCACCTCTCAAAGTTAACGTTGTCCTTCTCTACAAGCCTTGCCCGACAAGCCGTGCCTGACGAGTCTTGCCCGATAAGCCTTGCCCGACGAGGCTTGCCCGACAAAGCCCGACAGTGAAGCAGAAGCCCGACAGCAGCCCTCAACCGGCGCCAACCTCCCGGGGAGCTGTGCGCTCGTTGGCCAGGAAACGTCCCCGACGGAAATTCCTGACGCGAACACCATTAATGATAATTAATGGTTGTTCGTTCTTTTTATATTTTAAGTGTTTCTATTTTCCTTCTAACTGGCAAGCAAATTTCTTTTATTTGCACATTTGATTTGTGTAGTGTTTTGCAGATACATATTGGAGTCCGCGAGCTTTGAGTTGTTCTTCAAATATGTGGAGCTGCCTAACTTTGACGTTGCTTCTGATGCGTTCTTTACCTTTAAGGTCAGAATCATGAACTTCTTTGATGTTGGACCTTTCTAAACATTGATGAGCTTTTGTGGCCCTATCTGTTCGCTCATAATATGTCCTGAATTTGGCAGGATCTACTTACTAAACATGGAACAATGGTATCTGAATTTTTGACTGCTCACTATGACGAGGTTTGCTTACGCTTTTTCTTACTATAAATTTATGTACAAATATGGTCAGTGGCAATCGTAGCAGTGTGACTTTTCATATGTTTATGTTAATTAAATATTTTACACATACGCTATCTGCTTGATTAAGACGCTTTTTCACTAGTGTATTGTTACATTCTAGTGTATACTATTCTTTTGATTTATGAGATGCTCTAAAAGATAAATTATATATGGATTTTAGCTTCTCTCCGAATTCCTCTTGGAGACTCCAAATTCACATATAATGAAGCGCTACATTTTAGAAGTTTGGTACCTGAAAGTCGTGATGACGTTACTCTAGGTATTGAATTTATTATTGCTAGTACTCTCTAGGACTATGGATGACCAAGCAATGGGTACTACATTGAAATGTACGCAAATAGTGTTACTTTGTGCATTTAGCATGCTGTTTAGTATTTTTCTTTTAATATGAGCAGGATTCAAGTAAAAACATCCAAATCTCTGCCTTCCACATCTTCAAGGTGCGTCCCCTGCTCATTTTTCCTCTCCTGCTTCCTAGATGTGCGTGTTTGTATGAATGTGATAGAACATGGAGTGCATTTTGTACGCTGCTTTTTGAACTTCATGCAATGAGGGATGTGGGTTGGAACAATGTACAGATTCATATATCGTACGAGTCAATTTTGTATGATTTGTCAACTTCATAAATAAAAGTCTCAGATTACTTCGGTTCCCACCCATGTTTCTCATTTTTTGCATTTTGTTCATTATTGATTATTATATATCTGTGTTCTAAATGCAGGTCTTTGTTGCGAATCCTAATAGCACTTATGAGTTATATGTGTTCTGTAGGTTTGCCATTTTATGGAGATTTTGTTTGTTGCTTTGTTTGATCAAACTCCTCCAGAATGGAGAGTTGTACATGATGATGATTGTGAGGTGAATTTTAAAACTAGTTTGCTTCTAGAAGTTGCCTATTATCTATGGAATATGATTCTTAGAGTTAGAAGCATCGCATTGCTTCCTCAAGTCATGATTGATTTGGATATTTAGTTGACTTTTTTTTTTACGATAAATTTACATTAAGGGATGAAAGGAATAAGTTGGTATCGAACTCACAATTTAACATGCGTTTTGTGTAAGAACTAAAAACAGAAAAATAAGTTTTTAACAAATGAGGAAGGGCCAAGAAAGACCTCACTGTGGATTCCTCTTGCTCTTTATGCTCTTGGACGTCTGAGACCATTGTTCATATTATTAGAGATTGTGTCTCTGTCGACTTCTCGGCTCAATGCACTGGAAATATAGGTGTTCTTAGAAATAACATCCATGATTGGCTTGGTCGGCTTTCTGTCAGGTGATTGATGTTAAAGATTTGGAGGCTATATTTTGGACTAAAATTTGCAGTTGACAAGAGTATTTCAAGATTACGTGTCGGGATGGATTCAACTCTTACCAACTTTCGTTCTTTTGTCAACATTATTGATTAGTGCATGTCTACTAAGAGAAGAATATAGTGGTAAATGACATTGTCAATTGGAACTATAATATAGATCTTGAGTACCATTATTTTGAGAAGAGTAAATTGTAGTTATGGTTCCTTAACTTTAACTCAATTGGAGCAATGGTCCATCAACTAAAAATCCATTACTATTGGTCCCTCAACTCATCAAAACGTGCAGCTATGGTCTCTCAATTAAAAATTCATTATCATTGATCCCTCAACTTTAATAACTGGAGAAATTGTCCCTTAACTTTAACCCAATTGTAGCAATGATCATTCCAACATAACTCGTTTTAACAAAAATTTTGACGTAGTTGACGAAAAAGACTATAATTCACATTTTGATGAGTTGAGGGACCCTAATTAGATAAATGGTTATTCCAACATAACTTATTTTGACAAAATTTTGATGAAATTGATGAAAATGATTATAGCTACATATTTTGATAAGTGGAGAGACCAATAATAATGAATTTTTAGTTGAGAAACTATTACTGTAATTTGATTAAAATTGAAAGACCTTTGCTGTAATTTGAAGGGAACCAATTATTTGATGGTACGATAGGACTCGAAGTATTCGAGTGATCCACCCCCCTTACGCTACAATACAAAAACAGAAAAATATCAATTTTAGCATTTAAACGGGTATTTAATTCAAATTTCCATTTTTAAAAAAATATTAAAGCTAGATTACGCCACCCATGTCACTATTATTGTAAAGAGTATTTATTCGGTACGAATAGAGCTCCGGGTTAATCTCGGACTCCGAATCCGATTGCAGAAAATCTCTAACCCCCAAAAATTTCCACAAAAACCTCGAAAACCCCGAAATCTCCTCCTCTCACGGATGAATTTCTTCAACTCGGTCTTCTCCGACGAGCCCCTTCCCTCCGACGATCCGCACTACGACGCCCCAAACGACGGCGTCGACCCTAACCCGGAGTCGGATCCGGAACCGGAACTAAGTTCGCGTCCAAATTCCGGCACCGGGTCATGGAGCTTTGGAGGTCTGATCACGACTCTGGCGACGAAGTCCGGATCCGTTATGAAGAACTACCGCCGGGATCTCGAGGAGTTCGGGTCCGAGTTGAAGAAGGAGACGGCGGTGATCCGGGAGGTGGCTTCGCGCGCCGTCAAGGATCTTCCGGGTTCGCTCGAGGTCGGCGCGTCGGTGGCTCAGGAATCGCTGGAGACGGTGGGCCAGGCGATCGATGATATCGGAAGCACCGTCTGGAAATCGACGACGGAGATCATCTCTCACGGTAGGGACGCAATCTCAGCTGATGATGATGTTGAATCTGATAATTTGGATGATAATGTTAGTGGTAATCGTGAGATTAGTGGTGATAATAAGAGATTGAGTAGCAGTGGTATTGATTTGAGAAAGTACAGTAGGTTTGAAGCTCAGGTGCGTGCGGTTCAGAGTAATTTGAATACTTATTTGGAGGAACCGGAGGATTTGGAGAGCTATGGGAGCTGGAAATTAGGGTTTGTGTTGGACGAAAAGGCGGAGGAAGTCGAGAATTTGATGAGGGAAAATGGAGTGATTGGTGAGATTTATGGGGAGATTGTGCCTGGTAAGGTTGATAGTGAGAGCTTCTGGTCTAGGTACTTTTATCGGGTGCATAAGCTGAAGGAAGCCGAGGAGGCGAGAGCGAAACTCGTGAATCGGGCAATTTCGGGGGCGGAAGAGGATTTGAGTTGGGATTTTGATGATGATGATGATGATAAAGATAAAGATGTAGGGAAGGAAGAGGGTGATGGATCGGATTTGAAGGTTGGTTCGAGTGGGACTGTAGAGTTGGAGAAGCAAAAGCAAGCTTCTTGTGAAGGTGCTGCAATGGAGGGTGACAATGTTGAGAGTGTTGAAGTTGCTGCAAGGGAGTCTGTGAGTAGTGATGGTGGGGATAAGGCAGAGTCGAAATCTGATGGAGTGTCGGAAGGGAAGACGGATGGTGGTGATTCTTGGAAAGAGAGTGATGTTTCGATTGTTTCGAGCCAGCCCTCGATGCCTGAGGAAGAGGATCTTGGGTGGGATGAGATTGAAGATTTAGGAAGCATTGATGAGAACGAAGGGGACGCAACGGGGAGCAGTGCGAATAGAGCGAATTTACATAAGCGGCTCAGTGCAGCAGAGGAAGAGGAGGATTTGAGCTGGGATATCGAAGATGATGAAGAAGATGTCACTATTAAATCATGACGAAACTGCAGTCACAAGATCATCGCAAGCATTGTGAAGATAATTGTTTTATTTGGTTGTTATACGACATAAATACGTTCTCTTATCTGTTCTGTGAAGTTTTAAGTGATTTACATTTGCATTTATGTCACATTTTATAGTTGAATAAAATTAGAAACCCGATACGGGGTTTCCTTGGCTATACATTCAACGGAGTTCCTTGCACCCTTCAGTTCACGTTATGTCACATTTCGGGTACAAATTTCGAAAGTGCACCGTGCAAATGCTTCGGAGTTGAGCATGGAGAATCATCCTTAAAAACCAAGTACATTATCTCGTTTATATCGGCACCTGGTAGATACATTCATGGCATCAATAGCCGGGGCTTTGCCGGTAAATAGTGAGCGAAAAGGAGAAAATCCGGTGTTCGAACAAGTTGAGTAACCAAATCCATACAATGTAAAATGTTTCGCATAAATGAGATGTAGCACACTTGGTTTGGGCAAATGTAAAAATACTAAGAAATCGGCGTAAAGTGAGGCAGCTCACTCGGCTTTAGAACTGTTTGGAGAGTCAAAGGGAAACATATACGCTACATCCACAATGATTATGTTCGGGCTTGGACTATATATACTATGTCCACACTGAGTTTAGCCAAAACCAGACTGCAGAGAGTTGAGTCGGTAGTCGGTACTTGGCATGACTAATTGTTGCTTTGCCTCAGCATCCGCAATATAGTCAGGAACAGGTTGAGAATGTCAAGATAAAGAGTGATGGAGGCCCAAATGTACTCATCGTATGTGAAGCGCTTGATCAGGTTGTCAGTGTCATAGACGATGTACCCAGAGAAAATGATAGCGCCAATGGCACCATATATGGCATTAGTTGTAGGGCCAAGAGGGAAGAACATCTGCAAGAGGGTACACGACCACCAAGTCAGGTCGATATTTCAAGTATTTAGGGAAAAGTACTGAACAAATTAATAGAAAGACAATCCGACCTGCATGAAACCGGTTAGGAGGAGGACAATGAGGCCAGTGAACAACACTGGTCCGAGGAAGCTGAAGTCCTTGCCCTTCCTCGACGCCCAGAAGGTGTAAGCAGTCAAGGATGCAACCACAGCTGAGGTTAGAATCAAAGCTTCAAGCACAATTGCTCCTGAAAGCACAAACATAATCAGATGAGTGTAATTCCAAAAGCTAAGGAATTCCACAAAGATGAAAAATCAGCAACCGAAATAAACACTACAATCTCGGATTGCAAGATGTCAGTAAAAACATTCAAAATGTAGGGAAATAAGACTAACCGTCTGTATTCGCGACGGCCACGCCAACTGTGACACTCAAACTCAGAGTGAAAAGTCCAAGGAAGACAAAATTGAGGGGATGCTTCTGCTGATACACATGCAGGGGCCACAACACTGTGTCGAAATTCAAGGTTAATAAGATAAAGCAAAATAAGAAAATAATGTAGAAAACAAAAACCCAGCAGTGGATATTGTAGTAATTAGAAAAAACACCCCAAGAAAGAAGAAACTATAAATTTTATAGAAAAAAAACTTCCAAGACTCATAAAAGAACCCCTCACCCAACAAACAATTAGATCAATGGGTAATTCAATGAAAATCTACCTTAGAAAACAGGCATTTTCGAGTTTGATATCAATACGATCATATTCATATCACAGACCCGATAAATTTCTCAAATTTTCCAATTATTTGTAACCATGTAAGTTGTAACCGCATCATAGATAGCAAAACTAGCAAAATCAAACAATACCCAAATTCGAAATAAAAAGACCTAGATCGCCCACAGAAAAGTCAAATCTGAATCAATTTCAAAATCTAGTACCAAATAACCACCCAGCACAACCCCAATTCAAAGAAAAAGCCTCGATCTTTGATTCAAAATACCAAATTCAGATCTAAAACCAACACCCATAAACGCAAATCCCACAACTAATGCAACAAATAAGGGATTTTGTGATTAGGGTTACGTACAGATTAGGGGAAGGATGGCGAAGAAGAGGAGAATTCCAGGGCTGCCCTTGAGGAGATCGTTGATCGGAGCGTAGAGGACGGTGACGAAGGAGATCACAGTGGTCAAAACCATCTGAGCGGCCAAGATTCCGTACACCTTGCGGATGAATCCCCATCGGAGTTGGTTCTCGCCTTTACTCAGACCTGGGTACAGCAACTCCCCCGACTCTATGTCCACCTCCGCCGCCTTGCCGCCGCTGTTCGTACCCACCTCCGTGTACCCGTGCATCTTGTTCATCATTTTCTCTCTCTCTTGCTCGAGAACTTTCTCTGGAATTTTCTCGGGAAAATTGGGAGCGCGAGGGGAAAGGTCGTTGTAGAAGGATGATGGGGGTTTGTTTCTTCTGGTTGGTGGATGATATATAATAATTCAGTAAAAAAATAAAAATTGGACTTTTTGGCGTTTTGATAGATTGACTTGCGGGTGTCTTTTGGACTGTGACGTTGCGTTAAATAAAATTTTATTAGGATTTTAATTAAATGGTTTAAAATGCATTAACATAAGATTAGGTCAAGTGGCACTGGCAGTGACATATTCGATAATGTCAAATTGTCATATAAAAATGGGGAAGGGATCGGAATATCCTATATTCCCATGGGAGAAGTGATCTATATTTTGGGTGTAAATGACTCCAAATGAGAAATCCTATGTAAAATGTGATTTTTTTTTAAAAAAAATATTGTAAATTAATCGATTTTTATGAAATGGTCACACCGTCACTCAAAGAAAAAAAGTAATTTTTTATGAAAATTTTATATTGCAAATTGGTATTCAAGTTAGTATCGAAGACTTTGTTTAATCGTCAAATTGATGAGTTCTCAAAGTTAGTATTTGATTAAAATTAAGGCCAAATTGGATTATTCATCCCCGTGGTCATAGGAAACTTGCATGATGACCTCCGTGGTGAAAAAACTAGGAATTAAACCCCTGTGGTCAAGAATGTTAGCAAATTTAGTCCAAAAGTAAGATTTCTGTTAAATGACTGTTAAAAGTATGAGTAAAACTGTATTTTCAGTTCCAATTGACATTTAAAATAAATATTTTTTTATAACAATTAACAAAAAAAATAATGCTTAATTTTTTAAATAAAAAAAAGCCCCAATTCAATGTCAATTGGAACTGAAATACAGTTTTACCCCAACTTTTAACAGTCCTTTAACAGAAATCTTACTTTTGGACTAAATTTGTTAACATTCTAGACCACGAGGGTTTAATTCCTAGTTTTTTCACCACAGATGTCTTCATGCAAGTGTCTTATGACCACGGGGATGAACAATCCAATTTAGCCTAAAATTAATGTTGTGTATGAACTCTAGTATTTTAGTTTGGGGAAACATTGTCTTTTCGCATGGAGGAAAAGTACAAATTCAAGTTGACTTGTTTTGCTTTGTGTAATTCCCAATTGGAAGTCTAAAACAATGTATTTATTGAGTATTAGATGTGTAATGTTAGACAGATGGCATGATCTTGTATTGACAAATGTCATAATCTTGTGAGGTTGGTTGTTAGAGGTGTTAGCTTAGTCAATAAGCTACTGTGCTTACTATAAATACGGAATTACATCAGATTGTAACTAATCTTTCCAATCATTCATTACTGCAATACAAAAGAATATTCTCTTCACTCTCTTCTTTCTCTCTCTCTCGATACATTTCTTGATTTTCAGCTTCTGCAACTCTGTTATGATGGTATCCATAGCTAGATTCTCGATTTGATCCTAAGAATTAGTGCTGGAATTCAAAATGGTGGAAGGTTTTGTGCGTGGAGTTAGAATTTTTTTTTTTTTTGTGGCGGTGGAGATTCCTGTTCGTCGGTGCCATGTCAATGTATTCCAATTTCATCTTTCACGCTGATTTCTTTGAAGATTTGATGGTATCTGTTGGTACCATATATTGGGCCTCGTCTTTGGGCCTTATCCCTAAGCCCATGACAAATGTAAAAGGGGAGGGAGCCCTTATTCTATAAAATGGACTCTCCCTCACCCTCATGAAGGGAGCCTGACCTTCACAAAGAAGACAAAGTCTCACACTCAACCCTCACAACAATATAGAGGGCAATACCCTCTCAGCCAAACAGAGAGCAAATGGCAAGGGCTGCATCCACAAAGAGCTCCTTTGCCGATTTATTGTAATCCATACATTCGTACAGTAAATGGAATCAACATCAGTGTGGACGTAGCCTAAACATTGGGGTGAACCACAATACATCTTTGTGTTCTTGAGCGTTTGTGTGATTCACGGTCAGATTTACGTTGGTCCAAGATCCTTCGGATTTTGTGCATCAGCAGTATCTGTTCTTATTCCTCTATGATTCATACTTTGTTGATTACAATTCGAGGCACGAAGCTGATTGTCTTTTACGGTGAAATCTGTTGATATTTGATCATGAAGAATTGTTGCTATCTTGATTGTATGTTGAAAATTGTTGATTGTATAAGCAAGAAGCTTTAGGGTATGAAGCCACACTATTGAAAATTGTTGCAAATTGTTGATACTTGTTGAATTCTGAGATAATTGAAAGAAGAAAAAAAAGTTAGAGCACAAAGCCAGGTTATTGTGAAAATCTTGAAGGTTTATTGTTGAATTGGTGTGTGTTGATTCTATGATTCATGATGGCGTCTTTGTTTAAGATTCATGGTTTGTTAGGCATGTTTGTCATTTGTCTGTAAGCAGACAACTCTGCAAAATGGTCTTTTCAGTTTCGTTATGTGCTTGAAGGGTATGACTTGTTCGACCATTTAGATGTTACAAATGTATGTCCTCCTAAGTATATGATTTCTTTGGATGATGGGGTTACTAAAGAACTCACACAAGCTTATAAGGAATGGATTAAAACTGATAAAGCTCTATTGAGTTTACTCATTGCCACACTTGGTGATGAGGCTATTGAATATGTTGTTGGTAGTAAGACTGCATTTGAAGCCTGGACTAATCTTATTGATAGATATGTCACAGTCTCTAGGGCACGAATTAATCATCTTAAGACTGAATTACATACAATCAAGAAATGATCTGATTCTATTGAAAAATATTTGCTTCAATTGAAGAATAAAAATATCAGCTACTTGCTGCAGGGGAAGTGCTTTCTGACAATGACTTGATAGTTGCTGCTTTGGTTGGTTTACCCTTTGAATATAATATCATTCGTACTGTTATTGTTGCTAGAGA